CTGTATGCGCACAATATCTTCTGGTACCCACATAGCACCGTTTGTGAACTCATGGCTTGTCGGCTGGTTGAATAGCCACTGTGTTTGTGAGATGTTTGCATCTCATATTCCACATCTGAATCTAGCAGCTGTTCTGGGGAAATGCTGGTGGGATTGTTAAGGTGTCCCTACCTGAGAGCGAGATAAGAGTTCAAAACATTTCATTGAACTTCCCCTTCATTTGTTCTCAAATCTGTCTTTGTCTCTTAAATGCATTTTTTGCTGGAACCTTTCCTAGTCAAGCCTCATTACAATTTGGTGTTTACCTGAGCCCATGAAGGATCCCTTCAACACTTGTCTGTTGAACTTGCTCCAAACCTACAGAGAACATCCCAAACAGGGGTGAACCATATAATCACAGACTGTACAGCATGTAGAATCATGCCCTGAGAACAACGTTGACAGTTTCTAAACTGTGAGATCACACAAGAGAGTTGGGAATGCACTGTCTGTTTGATGTGGTGCGCACAAAAACGTCTGAAAGTGACTCAGAGGCACATAAGGGACTTTAAGCCATTAATCAGAGGGTAGAAACTTTTTATTTTTGCAAGAAAAAGTAGTTAATCTAGTAAAGCATATTGGGCATATAGGTTTTAAATGTTGGTTCCCTTGTGAAAAAGAGTACTATTAAATGATATACTTAATAGAATACATGCGAATGCATAGAATACATACATTAAATGTAAGTACCTTAAGTTTAGGGTTTTTTACCCCCACAAGTAAGACGTCTTTATATGTAATTTCATAATTACTTTTATTACTGCATGGTTGGGATGTGAAAAGTTTCCAGTGCTAATCTTTGCACACCACAACAAGGAATTTGGTCCTTTTTTGGAGAATAACCTGTGAAGGGAATACATAATCCTCCCTGTTATAGACTTCCTGGGGCTGCAGTGTGAAAGCTTAGGTTATACAAAACACAAAATCCTCTTTCCATGACATCACGGCAGCGGAGTTGATCAACATCCTCATGACAGTTCTAAAGTGAAGTGATTAAGTAAATGTTCAAAGTCAGTGTGCTTTTTATCCTGGAGACATTCCGGTCCTCAAATCTGATTAGTCGAGCAGCGTTCCAAGAGTGCTGATAACAGCGCAACACCACTGTTTCTATTCAACTGTGTTTGTGTCAGACTGTCAGTGTGTGCGTGTTATTTTTCAGGGACTCTTTCCGCAGGTTACTTTGCAACAAGTGACAAGTGTCTTTATGAGTGAGTCATTGAATCATTCATTTAAATGATTAGTAAAAAAGGCTCATTCAATGAGTTTTTCAGCTGATTTAAAATACGAATGAGTCATGGAATCATTCACTCAACCGATTTGTTCGAATTTGCATACTATCCATCCTAAATAGTATTCGAAATTAGAATCAGTGTGTCCCAAATCGTAGTATGCTGAAATTAGTATTCCAAAGATACCCTTATGGTCTACTATTTCCGGTAAGAATTTGAAGTGCGATCTAATATTGCCCACAACCCATAGCGTGAATATTTCAAACAAAGTATTGCGTTTAAAGAGAGATTGTGTGCTATCCATCTTCAGTGTGGAAGTAAGCAATTTCCTGTGAATGTTCAGATTCATTATCCACTATAGGTAAATAACTAAGAATATGAAGTGCAGTAAACAGTAAAACGAATTGCCCTACACACCTGGGTGTTTAAGATTATGATAATACATTAAAACAATATGATAACAAAAAAGTGTTTGCAATATCAAGCAAGATAACGTACACCTAAAATAACTGGAAGTGGCTGATAAAGGAAGCCTTTTTATTTATTTAAAAAGCTGGGCTAAAATAGCCTGTAAATGATTTGATATGTGCTTGAGAGTCATACTTAGCTCAGATTTTAGCTGGAATGAAAATGAAAAGAAAAGCATGAAAATGAAAAGAATTCCCTCAATAAAAAGCATGATGTAATGCCAAACTAAAGGTGTCTGGACTGGAAGAGAGTTAAACAAGGGTTTGGGAACAGGACAGGGAATAATTTACCACATCTGCTTCCAGGTATCATCAAGGTTCTGCACATGGTCAAGATGAAAACAGGTTTAACTTTTTATCAATATTGCCTGACATCATGATTAAAATGTTATACTGATTAAAAATAAGTTAACCCTTATCACATTTTATAATGCAATTGTGCCTGTAAAAAACAAATCAAATCAAATCAAATTCTGGATTTCTGGATCGCTGTTGTTATCCTAAATGTTATCCTAAATCCTGTTGTTCTTTTGTTTTTTGCAAGCTAAACTACAGCATTTGCTGTAAATACTAGCTTAATAAAAGTAATAGACACATTGTTAACCCCCTAACTAGATACATTAACAGTAAGAAATCTCACTCTACCCAAGGTGAAATTTTCACCTTTGTCATGTCTGATCATTCATCTAGTGCCCTTATGAAAAAGATACACTTTAGCATTTACATAATATAAGTGCAAGCTGAATGTAATGTTTTGGGCACTTGCATGTAATTAAAATTGATATGAAATGCAATATAAGTGCTTTTTTTGACAAACTTAAGTAGGACATAATTACATCTTTATATGTTATTTCATAATTACTTCCATTGTCTTTCAAATATGGCTAAGTTTACTAACAAATGACAAGCATTTATGCTCAATGAAAAATGTAATTTCTTTTTAACTGTACTGTATGTCATGTTGACTTTAAAAGTAATATTGAAAACTAAAGTTAAAATTAAGTACTTTACATGTACATTAGCATGTTAGTCAACACAAATAACACTGGTGTACTTTAAAGCATGAGAAAAGTTTTTTTTTTTAAACAATGATTTAAAATATACTTAAAAGTAAAACTTTTAAAGCTTTTTTAAGATAAGAAGCATATTCAGTGTCTCAAAAGCCACACACACCTTCTTCAAAACACATGAACTCACACAGCAGATTCTGAAAAGCGTCATGAGAGACTGCGTTAAAGGTATAGGCAATTTCAGAGCGGCTAGCATTAGCAAGCTAGCTTTGAAAGCATGAGATCCCACCCTCCCTTCAGAGCGTCTCCAAAGCCACGCCTTAAATTACCTTATGTCTCAAAGCACATAACATTACAACAATAAAGAATGTAAACAACTTACACAGCTCTTACTTGGACTTGACTGCTTCAGATTCACGTCAGCATTGATAGTGTTGACATAGAAACGCATAAATCCGAGTCTGAGGACGTGAACAGCTTCAGGTAGAAAGTCACAGGTTGCCAGCTCGTAATTACGTTTACGACATGGCGTAAACGCTGCTTAAGATTGTTGTTTTTGGTTCTGAGACTTCCACAGAAGATATATGTACATGTTTTAATATTTAGACCACTTCTAGTATTGATCAAGATGTGAAGAGAGTTTTAACCATGTATAACAAAAAAGTATTTGTAAAATAAATTGCCTACCCTACCTTTAAGTGGCCTTTTATTTAATTAATATAATATTATCTACAGTACAGTGCACAAGTACAGTTCTAAAAAAAACTTTTTACATTTGAAGGACACTACAAGTGCACATTCCATACAGTTAAGCTTTAAACTTTTCTAATGGTAAACCGAGCAGAGGCAGTTACTCGTTTCTGTTCTTTGTGCTCATGGTTTTGTGTTCAGTCATTTTTTAGAGCTGTGTTTTCTCTTTGTTTCTCACAGACTTTATGTTGAGTAGACCCTGTTTGTTCCTCTATGAAATTTCACGCCATTCCGACAAAACAGGCTGATTACTATCTGACCATCTTGTTTTTTAAGCCATGAATAGACTTTTAGCCCGAGGCTGTGTAACAATCTTAGAAAATTGGGTTTTCCAATGGAGGAAGACAGCAGGAAGAAAAGAGGAGAGGCCTTTTAAAAGAAAACACGTTAGTAAGTAAACAAAGGCAGACTAATTCCAGATGTATTGCTGCTAGACTTGACAAATGTGACCCAGTGAGCTCAAATTCGTAGAAATGTCCAAATCCATTGGGTATTTCATTGTTTTGTTTTGAAGTAACTTGCAAAATAATCGAAGAGCCAAAAATCTGTTTTAAATTAATTTTGTATTGATAAAACTCATTTGATTAATTAACCACAGGGGAAAAAAGATTATTTCAGTATGCTTGGAGTCTGGAAGAAGGTTAATGAATGGTGGATTGTTGATCATTTTGAATAATATTACTCCATTACTGCATGAGTCCGAATCAAGCTGTAAGGTGGAAAGCATTTATCATTCCCTCGAGCCAGCGTTTGAATGGCTCATTTAACTGCAGGTGGAAGAATTAAGGATCTTTAGCAGTGTGTTCAGTGCTGACAGATCAGACAGCCTCAATCTCCAAACTGGCCATTCCAGGGCCTGGGGATTGTTTAGGGTCAAAGGTCATTTTTTTAAAAGTTGACATCTCACCTCACTAGGACTGGGCTCGGAAGGAGGTTTTCCCCTATCACTCAACAAACATGTCAGAGAGAGGTGATGGAGACGTTTTAGCCTTAAACTGAAGAGAATGTGATTCCTAAATTCCTTCTTTTGCCAGTTATTTGTTGGATCAGTTGAAGAGTTGTATCTTCTTTCCCATTTTTGCCATTCTTTACTTGTGAATCTCACAAAAAACATCTCCTGACCATTTGCAGATCATATTCACCAACACAAAATACAACTATTATGAACAATATATTATACATATTTACAATATATATGTGCATATGCATATACTCATTACCAATGCGTTCTTATACATCTGCAGATTTTTGATGATTCACCAAATAATTAGCAACCAAAAAGATTAGATTTGGCCTATAAATGTCTTTCTTGAATATGAATGTTGAATATTATTTATAATATTAATGCAACTATGCAGAAAAATCCTAAAAATAGGCTTCATGTCCTTAATAGTGTAATAAAGTCATAATAATTTTGTCTGTTTTATTTTCAGATATCACATCTCATATGATGAATGGAGAGAGAGATTGATACTGATCCATGAACTGAAACTAATTGTCTCAGATTATTATCAAGAAAAAGTGGAGATGACTTTGCATGATTACATTCTGTGGACAGAGCGAGACCAAACAACTGTTCCTCCTGTAGATTTATCCATTCCCTCAACACAGAGGTCCTGATCCACACAAACTGAACAGAATGACTGCAATAGACAGGGCATATTTGCCTTTTCTAATGCTGGGACTTCTCCACCAGATTCAGGGCTCTCTGGTAAAAAACAATCTTGGTCTTAAGGTAAAGAGGGGGCAGTCAGTCTTTCTGCAGGAGGGGGACTTGCAGTTTTATATACCCAGAGACAAGGATGCCTGCAAGCTGGAAGTTGTGCTGAACGAGCCCATTACACAGCGGGTCGGCACACTGTCCCCACAGGTAAACAATGTTCATTATTTCTGCATGCATTTCTCTCTTCGTATTATCAAACAAACTTTCAGTGATGAACATGCCAAAAGCTTTTTCATCTGAGAGCATTTGATATCTGAAGAACTACCCTTGTGAATTAGAAATGTGCTTAATTGTATTTTGTTTTGAATGCGCACTTGTAGCGTACTTTAACGTTAAAGGTATATTTAAAAAAAAAAAAAGTATTTGCAGATAATATAATATGGCTAAAATGTACTTAAAGAGACTAAACTTGCTAAACTGTTTCTTAACATACTTTTTTAAAAACATGCACTATGTAATAATGTCAAATTAAAAGTTTTACTTGAAAGGGGCTAAAAGTAGAATTGTTTTTAGTGACACCGGTGGCCATTAAGGGAACTGCAGCCAGTAACTTATTGCTCGTGTTCGCACTCGTAACACAAAAAAGATTGAACGTGATTCAATGCCCCTCTATATATAACTATGGCAAAGCTATTTTTTCGTTCTTTGCTATGTAGTAAAAAGAAGTTGGAAATACATTTGAGGCAATATGCTGTTAACGAACATCCCGACGCCATCCACGCTGCTGGGAGCGACGTTTAGATGAATAGGCCTACTGTATGTAAATATGTGCTGTGCGCTCTTCTCAATAACAAAATAAACACACAACAAAAATGACAGCGATGAGAAAGCGGCGGTTAAGAAAGTATCTGATCATAGCGATGTGGAAATGTTTGCCTCAGCTCTACAATTCAACGACATCATGTCGACAAGTTTTTAAAAAAAAAATTTTTATTTCAGCTTTATTTCAAATAATTAAAAGTCAAGTCAAGTCAAATATATTTATATAGCGCTTTTCACAATACAGATTGTATCAAAGCTGCTTCACAGTATCAATCAAAACAAATTAACAGTGTTTGTTTATTACTGGAAAAGACATCCAAGTTTGGTAGAGCTGATCAGTGGTATGATGGGTCATTTAATTTGAATATCCAAAACAATTCACACTCTGTGTGACAATTTTAATAGATTAAATTTTAGTTAACAATATTTTTTTTCCTTTTCTGATTGTAATTCAGGTTTGTTAATGCAATAACAGTTCATAACAGGTTATTAGGTATATCAGGATTGTGTGGTGCTACTTTAAGTTAAAGGTGCAGTAAGTGATTTCTGAGAAACACTGTTGATATTTAAAGGTGGGGTATGTGATTTTCTTTTTTGACCATTTTTTCAAAATCACTTGAAATCCTATTCCTAACCCACTTACAGCCACTGAGTTAAAAGCACTGACATGAAAATGAAGCAATTTAATCATCTGTGGAACGGGCAGGACTCGAAAAACTCCAGCCAATCATTTCCAAGACCACCTAGAATCATTGGACAGAAAATGCGTCAATCAAACGGTCGTACCATACCCCCCTCCCCCATCCCCCTCGGCGCGTCCCCTTCGTGCGCATGCTCAAAGCTTGTGACCCAGTCACAGTAAGTGCAAGTCGCCCTGGTACAGAGAGAGAGAGAGTAAGTGCAAGTGAGTTTTCGCTCGTGCATGCACATCCATGTTCTTCGAATGGGTGGAGTCAGGGCCAGGGTTGGAGGAAAGAAGGTAGGATCTTTTGAGTTGTGTATTTTCAAAATCTGCCGGCCGTTTTGCAAATCCCATACCCTACCTTTAAAAGTGAGGCAAAATAAAATAAAGCGAAATGAACATACAGTACACAAGAGTATATACAAGCAGGAGTTTGTTGTAAGTCACCAGCACTTCAGCAGCACACAAGCTCGACACTCAAAACTGTCCTGTTGGTTCTGTGAAACATAGCAAAACCAATGTTACTCATATGGAGCAGAACAACCTCTGTGTCCTTTTTCAGGCCTTCCCGCTTCGGACTCTCCAGCGCTGGAAAGCTTTTCTAATATTAACGCAGGTCCTAAAGCTCTTGTCTGATCATAACCCTTCTTTTTCCAGTGAAATTCCTCTGACCTTTTCTCTTGTGTAATGTCTCTCAGCCATCTCTCTTTCTACAGGCCTTCTTCAAATCTCCCTCTTGCTCTCTCTCTCTCCTCCCCTATCATGAGTGGACACACCCCCTGCTGTTGTTGTGTTCATAAGTGAAATATATTGTGACTGATATTTTAAAGTGTTGTGTATTGACGTAGCCTAATGTGTCTGAGAACAGAAGTGAAAGAGTAATACAGATGGATGAAGTTTGCTACTCCTGTCCCATGTTCTTCATTATTTAATAACTCTTGACAGATACCACAACTTTCACCAGCGTTTCCCAGAAATCACTTACTGCACCTTTAATTTCTGTTCTTTCTACAACTATTTATCATTTGATAGGTTTTTGACTGTCACTTTTTGGCTGATGAAGTGAAATACACTCATAATGGATGTCCGATTTTAAAAGAGGATACTGTTAAACTTCGTCTGTACAGGTAAGTTGTTCATGCTGCTGTAAATAAATACAGTATATGGAAATATTTGTGGAAGATATTGTATTAAAAGACAGATAGTACACTTTTTGTCTTTAAGAATATGGACATTTCATGAAGACTTCTTTATGTTTAGATTTACAGAGACAGAGACATACAGTGAGCTGTTCTCTCTCAGTGTTGAAATCATGGACCCTGACTGTAATGTGATTAGGTTTGGATCACAGAGTCTTGAGGTGCCAGAGTTTTATGGCCTCTCCAATATCCTAGACGGTAATGTTGTGTCCTTCCACTATGAACACCGACACAATATTGAGTGCACAGTTCAGATGACAACTTTGGAGACACATCTACCTGTTCACGGTCAACTAGTCACCGGGGAACCGGACAAACCAGAGGGACCGAGAGGAGATGAACCAGATAGCTTTGTTCCTCTTCGAAGACAGCTGGGTAAAATCATAACATAATAATATTTGACCAGTTTTCCTACTTTCCTACTGCACAAATGCGCTTAAAAATGATTCCATCAGGTCAAATTCATGTGAAAGGAAACCTAAAGGTTGTTAAAATATTCCATTAGGTCATAATTCACTTTAGTGGCAACTTTTAACCAGTTTTTGGATAGTTTTTGGATTGGAAGGAATATAATGGAATTTAGCGAACGACCTGTTTTGATTTAGCAGAACAGCTGATAGTATCACCTTATTTATTTAATTATATATTAATTTTTTTTAGGTTTTCAGAATGCACTACTGGCCAAAAGTTTGGAATAATTAAGATTTTTTAAATGTTTTTGAAAGAAGCCTCTTATGGTCACCAAGGCTGCATTTATTTGATCCAAAATACGGCAAAAAAATTAATATTGTGAAATATTATTACAATTTAAAACAATCATTTTCTATTTGAATATATTTAAAAATGTAATTTATTCCTGTGATGCAAAGCTGAATTTTCACCAGTTATTACTCCAGTCTTCAGTGTCATATGATACCTCAGAAACCATTATGCTGAATTGTTCCAAACTAAAGTGTTCTTGAAAATACTTCAAAATACACTCACCTAAAGGATTATTAGGAACACCATACTAATACTGTGTTTGACCCCCTTTCGCCTTCAGAACTGCCTTAATTCTACGTGGCATTGATTCAACAAGGTGCTGAAAGCATTCTTTAGAAATGTTGGCCCATATTGATAGGATAGCATCTTACAGTTGATGGAGATTTGTGGGATGCACATCCAGGGCACGAAGCTCCAGTTCCACCACATCCCAAAGATGCTCTATTGGGTTGAGATCTGGTGACTATGGGGGCCATTTTAGTACAGTGAACTCATTGTCATGTTCAAGAAACCAATTTGAAATGATTCGAGCTTTGTGACATGGTGCATTATCCTGCTGGAAGTAGCCATCAGAGGATGGGTACATGGTGGCCATAAAGGGATGGACATGGTCAGAAACAATGCTCAGGTAGGCCGTGGGATTTAAACGATGCCCAATTGGCACTAAGGGGCCTAAAGTGTGCCAAGAAAACATCCCCCACACCATTACACCACCACCACCAGCCTGCACAGTGGTAACAAGGCATGATGGATCCATGTTCTCATTCTGTTTACGCCAAATTCTGACTCTACCATCTGAATTGTCTCAACAGAAATCGAGACTCATCAGACCAGGCAACATTTTTCCAGTCTTCAACTGTCCAATTTTGGTGAGCTCTTGCAAATTGTATCCTCTTTTTCCTATTTGTAGTGCAGATGAGTGGTACCCGGTGGGGTCTTCTGCTGTTGTAGCCCATCCGCCTCAAGGTTGTGCGTGTTGTGGCTTCACAAATGCTTTGCTGCATACCTCGGTTGTAACAAGTGGTTATTTCAGTCAAAGTTGCTCTTCTATCAGCTTGAATCAGTTGGCCCATTCTCCTCTGACCTCTAGCATCAACAAGGCATTTTCGCCCACAGGACTGCCGCATACTGGATGTTTTTCCCTTTTCACACCATTCTTTGTAAACCCTAGAAATGGTTGTGCGTTAAAATCTCAGTAACTGAGCAGATTGTGAAATACTCAGACCGGCCCGTCTGGCACCAACAACCATGCCACGCTCAAAATTGCTTAAATCACCTTTCTTTCCCATTCTGACATTCAGTTTGGAGTTCAGGAGATTATCTTGACCAGGAGCACACCCCTAAATGCATTGAAGCAACTGCCATGTGATTGGTTGATTAGATAATTGCATTAATGAGAAATTGAACATGTGTTCCTAATAATCCTTTAGGTGAGTGTATACCTTGATTTCATTTGAGCATTATAATATCTGGGGAAAAAACTACTAATCTGTTTTGTAGTTTAACATTAATTGTCTCTGTCCCCCTGCAGATAATAAAGCTCGAGCTCATTGTAAAAGTGACGACTGTCTAAAGGGTCTTAAACTGCTGAAGATCATCAAAGTACCATGCAATGATTTCCTCATGATGGGTATCCGCTACCACCACATCGATCCTCCATCTCCAGACATAGATTACATCGCAATTAGACTGGATCTCATAGACACTCGTAGCAGAAGCATAATTCAGGTGTACATTCTAAAATAAAAGCATTTTTTTAATTAAAGGAGTTTTTTTTACCACATTATTAACACTAGTTCTGCTCACCTCCCATTCAGTCAGAGCAGGCCTGGATCCCGGTAACCATTAAAGACGCGATGCCCAACCAGCCGCCCAAGCCTGCTTTTATGTCCATGTTCATCTTAGAGGTGGACCAGTTCATTCTGACTCCTCTCTCCACGGCAACTCTGGATGCGGAGGATGATGAGACGCCCAAACAGAGGCTGGTGTTCAACATTACTAACCCCCCTAATGAGGGCTTCATTACTCATCTGTCTGATCACACCAAACCCATCTCCTCCTTCTCCTGGATGGATCTCAACGACATGCTGATCAGCTACCAGCCTCCAAACTCCAGTCACACGCAGCGGCGGAACTATGAGGTAACCCTTCTGGAAAAGATACGATTTAGCATACTTTTACAGAGTACTTAAGTATTATATTTTAAAGTGTGAACCGAATGTAATGTTTTCTGACACTGCATGTTAAGATATTAATATATAAAATATATTAACTTTAAATGTAATATCAAACAACACACTAAAGTTAAAATTATAATCAAGTACTCTACATGTGCTTTAGTTTGTTAGTCAACAAATCAAAATGAATGTACTTCTTTAGAGCACGACAAAAGATTATTAAACCTTAAGCTTTAAAACTGTTAATTTGACGTGTGTACTTAAGTGTGTTAAGAAACATAGTCATGAAAGTCTAGCCTTTTAAGATCTGAAGTTCACTACAAGTGCATATTCAATACAATTTAGCACTTCTTTTTTTCACACTATACTAACTTGATGTTAAACAGAATTATTTTATTTAACTCGATAATCCAGTAGTTATCTATTGTTAATTTCTACTAGGTGGAGTTTGAGGTGCATGATTTCTACTTTGAGAAAAGCCAGCCTGTGATGGTGCATGTGTCAATCAGGACAGCTGAAACCAATGCACCAAGAGTATCATGGAACATGGGTCTGTATTGTGCATCATTTATATACATACTGTATATACATGTTGCTCTGTTCTCATCTCACTGCTTTGCTTGAGAATCTTTTCTTAAACAGAACATTTGAAAGGTGGAGACTCCCCTCCCCCCAAAATAGGACTTGTCCCATGTAAATGAAAGTTTCGCTTTAAAGCAAATTTAGATGTCCGAACTGATGTTATACATGTTATTTTGGGTGTAATATATTTTTTTTGTAAGATTTGGAAAAGAACAAAATAATGACTATGCTTTTTAACACACTTAAATAGACTTTTAAAAAGTACACTTTGTTATAATGTCAGATTAAAGGTTTTACCTGGAAGTACTTTTTAAATCATTATGTTTTAATAATATGTATTCGTGCTTTAAAGAAGTACATTCATTTTGATGTGTTGACTAACATACTAAAGCAGTAGATGTAGAGTATTTGATTATAATTTTAACTGTAGACTTATTCAATATCACATTTAAAGCTAATATTAATATTAAAAAAATATTAAATTGCAACTTCATCATTACAAATGTATTTAAATACATTAAATGTCATTTCTATTGAAACTTGCATTTCAAGTTTTTTTTAACCTTAAATGCTTGTCAGTACAATCGGCAGTACACTTTAACAATATTTAGACAATTTTAAGACAGGCTATTAAGACAACAAGGCATTAATGGCATTTAAACTACAATACTTTTTATTGAATTGCAATGAAGTGTTCAAAAACATTCAATTCACACTTAAGTTTAAATGTACGCTCAAGTATACTAAGGGAACATGTTAGATTAGAAGAATATGTCTTACTTGCCAAAATCACACTGAATGTAAAGGGTAATGGGCTGTTTGTGAAATTAAATTAACTTACTTTATTAAAGATCACACAAAACCGCAGTGAGTGGGGTGATTAAATGCCACGGAAATATCATCAATCCCAGACAATTAATTAAACCCTGAAGGAAAATTCAGAAAGTTACAGTACCTGATAATCTAAAAGATTAGGATGTGTAATGAATGCCAGACAAATGAGTTTCTCCCTATTTCTATCAAATGAATAGGTCTCAGTCTGTTGGAAGGTCAATCCCGTCCAATCACATGGGATCAGCTGCAGATTGTTGACAATGACAACCTGAAGGCTGTGAGGATCATCACTGTGGATGGCCTGCAGCACGGCAGACTAACTGTTAGAGGTACACATACAGATGATTTCCCCACTCCTCAATTTGGAAATATTAATCTGTTATATCAGTTCAGTCAAATTCTAGTCGCATCTTTGCATTTTGCACAAAATCTTCTCACTACAACTGCATGTTTATCTGTATGTTAGGTGGAAAAGGTTTCATGTTCACTGTGAAGGATATTAAGGATGGTGCGGTACACTACCATCATGATGACAGTGACACTACTAAAGATTTTATAGTTTTCCGGATTACTGATGGTTTACATCAAACTAGACACAAGTTTCCCATCAACGTCCTGCCCAAAGATGACAGTCCACCCTTCCTCATTACCAATATGGTGCTGGAGCTGTCTGAAGGTCAGACGGGTCTTTTGAGAGGATCCATTTTGCAAGCCTGTGATATGGACTCAAGTGATGACTACATCATGTTCAACATCACCAGACCTCCTCAGGCAGGGGAAATCATGAAGATGCCTGGTCCTGAGATAACAGGTGAGGAAAAGGGTTGTAGGAAAACTAAAACAATACTCTAAATGCATGTTTTTAGATTAGTAGTAAGAGCCTGACTCTGGACTCGAGTCCGACTCGAGACTTCATGCTCTGGACTCGTGACTCGACTTGGACTCGCGGACTGATGATTATACTTGGACTCGGACTCGAGAATATATAAAATCGGACTTGAGCATTCATCAAATGAATGACGTTGTTTCTGACTAAATAGGTTATAAAAAGATGTTACACTTTTCCTGTTTCGGGGTCCAAGACCGGCCGTGATCTATTTTTTCCCTCACAGACACTGCTACCGCTCGCTCTCCTTGCTTGACTACACACTCACTGACGTCACTCACTTTACGCTGCATTCTCGTGAGAGAGATAACGCAACACTCATTTAACACTAGATAAGTTCCTCTACATCTAATCAGCAATTTCGATTTTGGCACGCTTTGCAGCAGCTGAGCTGACCACTAAGGAGCGAACGTATAGTGACGTGACATAACTGCCAGGTTTAAACTGCTTTCGTGCTATGGCTGGCGCTGAGCCAAAGTCGGACGCGCTCAGCGCTTAATCCCGTTTATCATACAATAACACAATTATGTTTATTTTAGCTAACAAACTAGACGGCGACCTTGACTATGTCACACATCGCAACCACTCTTTTCCTGCGGAGTTACAACTGCTTATAGCACTGCATTTTCTGTTGTTGTTTTTTTGCCGCAGTTACATTGGGATTTAGTTTGCTTTTCAAAATTTCAAAATTGTTTTTTCTTTTACCATATTCGTCAAGAAGAATGCATTTCTCCTCCTCTGTCCAATTAGGCTTTCTTTTTTGTTTTCTTTATCCATTCCAGTTGACTGATCATCCAAAAATGTATTTAAACAATTAAATAAATATTATCGTGCCACAGGTAGTTGACAATGATTTGATAAGGTCAAAGGCAATTCTAGTGATAGGCTATCATATACATTTCTAGCTGCAAGAAAGAGTGCCTGAAAAATGTTGCTTGATTTGGCTTAAGTGTATATAATTTCGACTCGGACTCGAACACGGGACTCGAGACTCGACTCGGACTTGAACTCAGGTAATGGTGACTTGACTTGGACTCGACTCGGACTCTTCTTTGGTGACTCGGACTTGGACTCGGACTCGAACACTGGGACTCGAGACCCGACTCGGACTCGACAGTTGGTGACTCGACTACAACACTGCTAGTAACCACCCAGAACACCCTCGGTACCGCCTAGTAACACCCTACTAACCAACCCATAATATCATAACACACCACTGAAAACTCCCTAGTAACCACTTATTGTAGCAACGCCCTATAAGCCATATAAAACTCCATAGAAACGGCCTAGTAACACCATTGCAACTAACTAGCAAAGCACCCCCAACCCCCAACAAACAGCATTCACATTTTCTTTAGAACATGTAAAAAATTAAATTCATTCTTGGGGAACTGAGTGTCCTCAGGGATCCTTTAAATATCACCTTTTTTTTTCAGGATACCCTGTTACCCGTTTTCTTCAGAAGGACCTCTTCCATTCCATCATCTACTATCGGCACTCAGGCAGTGAGGTGTTTGATGACTCTTTTGAGGTGGTGCTCTCTGATTTTCATGACCCTCCTAATCTTTCAGAGCCTCAGGTAAGTTCCAGATTTCCTAAACATCCCCTCTTTGATCAAATAGTAGTCCCATGTTATACTGAAGGTTTTAGCATCTTTTTGCTGTTTCCTCTAATCTGACTTTCCTCAGAGTTTACATGTTATTCACTAACCAGGTAATCTTTGCAGGTCATTGTGATTCAAATCCAGCCAGTCCCTGATCAGCCTCCACAAGAGGCACCGGGTGTGACCAGGCACTTGGTTGTCAATGAGACTGATGTCACCTACTTGACCAAGCAGCAGCTGCACTTTGTTGACTTGGAGTCACCAGATAGTGAGCTCACATACACCGTAACCACCCCACCTTTCTACAGCACCACCTATGGGTACAAAATTAAACTAGAAGCCTATGAGGTCCACAGCAGGACACATTCAATTCAAACCTGCAGCATATAACTCAACATGTATGTGCTGAAGGAATTCAGAAGGATGTTAATGCTTAGTACATTTTGATTTACAGAGGGTCTGATGCAGGAAGGTTGTTTCTGGTTGATAGCATCCCAAAATTTAAAAAGGACCCAAATGCCCCGATGCTGAGACTTTTCACTCAGGTAAATACTTTGAGCTGGGGTTAGATATATCATTTAAATCCCAATAAGCAACCGAAGCTGTAAATGACCCTCTCTTTATAGAATGCAGTCAACTACATGAAAGTAGCTTACATGCCTCCCATCCTGGACATTGGACCCTACCCCCAGCACATCCAGTTTATCCTGTCGGTGACCAACCAGCAAGACAGCATGACCGCTGGAATCTGCTTCAACATAACGATTCTGCCAGTGGATAACCTGGCACCAGAGGTAGCCCTCATCTACCCAATCCAGAACAGATAATAATTATAGTGCTTTCTAGTGGTACTTATTGAGTAGAGTTGTGCTTTTACTTTTCTGCTCTAAGTAATCCAATTTTCACTGTAAAATGGCCAAAAAAGAGATTGGGATTGAGATATAGATTTAGGTTGAGCTGGAAAGAGATTGACATGTTTGAGTAGACCGCTCTCAATGTTATTTTCGGTTTCCCTGGTTACACATTATGTTCTCATTTGTTTCTATAGTTACCCATTAGTTTAGGCTGTGTCTAGTTTGGTTGGCTTTTTCTACCCCTGTATTTATAGCCACGTGTTTCCGTTGTTCTTTGTCAGTTCTTGTTCTTTGTCAGGTTTCCTCCACCTCGAAAAAGAGGAATGCTCCCTCGAGAACTACACAAGGAATTTTTTGTCAGACTCCCTATCCTGACCACTCCCTCTGTGCTTTCTTTTACACTGGCCCAAAACGAGCAGTCCATGGCATGCCTGTATATTGTCCTCGAGGGCTTTTTTTGGATTATGTGGAGTTGGTGCTTCTGCACTGCGGTTCCCCTCTCACCATCTGCGAGGCAGGGGAGGAGCCTGTAACCCCCATGCCTGCCACGGACCCAGAAATAGAGCCAAAGCCCACCACAGACCTTGAGCCCAAGCCCTGGACCAAGTGAGCCGACTTAGAGGCTACTCCTACCACAGAGCCAGAGGCAGCCACCCCGTCCATCTTGAAGCCAGACAGTCCCGGAGCGAGAGCCTGCCAACCGGGTTGTCCCGGAGTTTGCGCACACTGCCCAGTCTGATAGACCTGTGGTGAGCTGATCCAGTTCCCTCCCTAGTACCTACTCCCTACTCCTCCTCCACCGGTCCCATCCGGAGTCCTTCCTCTTCCTATGTTCCTGCCCAGTCTCCTAGCTCCTGCATCCCATTCGGTTCATCCCAACTTTCTGATCTCATTCCTTCTGCTGGTTCCATCCATTCTCTTGGACACATCGTCACTTCTGGTGTCGTCCAACTCCTCGGCTCCGGCCATGCCACTTGCTCTATGCAACTCTATTGGTGCGTTCACACCGGACGCGAATAGCGCGTCAGGCGCGAGTGATTTCAATGTTAAGTCAATGCAAAGACGTGTTACGCGCGTAAAAAATTCCTGCGGCGCGAATGAGGCGTAGAGCGCGGCACGGTAGACGCGAATACGCCTCATTCGCGCGTCAAGTTCGTGCGAATGGCGCAAATTGAGCGTCTGGCGCGTTAAGCGCGAATGTTTTATGTAGTGCTTTTTGTGCATTCTCGCGTTTGACGCGAATTCGCGTCTGCCGCCCGAGTTGAAAAATCTGAACTTCTGCGTCAATTCGCACCGCGTTAACCAATCAGGAGCCTGCTTGCTGCTGTCACGTGGTGAAGTGACAGTTTATAATGTTATTTTATGTTTGGCCTCAATAAATTATTTTGTAATATGACAAAAATGCTTGGTGTGCAAAGCAAATCTTTCACATAAAAACTCGATTTCAATATATGAGAGATACTCATTTTGTATTGAATGCTATTTATTCCATATCTATTCTAGATTATATGAAACATTATTATTCTAATGTAAAGACAACAAACACAATTTAGTGTATAAAAACTTTTTAAAAAATCACAGGACAGGTTTCACTTTTGGAGGCTCCATTTAATATCAAAACAAAAATAAATGACAGATTAGGTGGATGCGGGCGAGGGTGAACCTCGCGCCGGGCTGTAGAGCGCGGGCTCGACGACAGGCATAGACCACTCGAGGCCGAGGCCTTATACGGCCTACGCTGTCCTCGTCAGCGTCCTCACCGTTAGGTCCACCAAACCTAGCTCCTGGAGCAAATTGTGAAACTCCTGAAACCCTCCGGAGGTTCGGGTGGACCCGAGTACAGCGACGATGTCCCCTACGCAGCTGTTTCTGCTCTCCAGAGCATATACGAGCGGTGACTCTCTCGAATAATGCTAATGCTAATGCTCGATAAACATCTAAAAAGATGGCCGCCAACGGGTTTCGAAACTTTCGCCTCCGGATTTCGCCTCTGACGCGCGTAAATTTCGCTTCAAACTTTTGTTTTTACGTGCGTCAATTTCGCCATTGACACGCGAATTAACACAAAGTGGTCAAGCGTCAAACTAGACGCGGTAGACGCGAATTTGACGCGCTATTCGCGTCCGGTGTGAACGCACAGTATGGCTCCACCTCGGGCATGGTGTTATGGATTCCCTAGCTTCACCTCAGCCCTCCAGGCCCATGTCTCCACCTTGGCCTGTCAACCCTTCAGCTCCGCCCCGGCTCTGCGTTCCCTCGGCTCCAACGTGGTCCATCAGCCCTGGGGCTCCTCCGAGTTCCCCCCGACTCATCCTTGGTTGAGTCGTTGCTCTTGGTCCCTGTCTGTCACCAGCTCCGCACCCACCTCCAGAGCCCCCTCTCTCCATCCACACTTGGACATTCAATTACGGCACGAGGACGGGCCTTTTGGGAGGGGAGACTACTGTCACGATTCTATGAACTCTCAAGGCCAAAAAGTATACTTCACTTTTTACGCGTACGCGAGGGTCAGCATTCAGTGTTCATGACTTGAATTTCATCATCAGAAGTGATGATCCACAAAAGTGATGATCGTACTGATCCATAAGTGCAACCGTGCCCTGGGGTCGTCGATTCACAAGGTAGTCGAAGAAAAACTGCATAAACAGGACAGACCGGAACACATGCAAGCTATAGCGACAATGGAGGCCTACATAGATGGGAGATTGTGCAAAGAGGTTAGAAATTATCCTCATTTGTACAACTCTAGCATGAAAGAATACAAAGATATTTACATGGGTTGTAACTCGTGGCGAGAGATTGCTCAAAACTGTGAATGCGTCGAACGCCTGTGTACGCGTACGAGTCAAATGAAGTATACTTTGCAAGGCTGTGTGTTCGACTGTGCTATACTTTCTGCTTTATTTTTATTTTCTGCTCCATTTCCTTTAATTCCTGTTTCCCTGCTCTTTTTAGTTTCAGTTTCCCTGGTTATGCATTATGCCCTCGTTTGTTTCTATAGTTACCCATTAGTTTCAGCTGTGTCTAGTTTGGTTGGCTTTTTTGTAACCCTGTATTTATAGCCCTGTGTTTTCGTTGTTCTTTGTCAGTTCTCATTTACGCATAGTGTAGTTTGTTTTTCTTCTAGTATTACCCCTGTGCTCTCCTGCGTGCTTGTTTTGGTTAATTATTATTAATAAAGACTGTGTTGGATACTACTTCATCATCGTTGTGTGATTACCACAGCCACAACATGACAACGACAAGTGCACATTCAATGCACTCAAGTGTACTTTCTTCATAAGGGATGTATTGACTATATTGTTTATTTTATAATAATTTTATGAATTATATTTTATATAATTTTATAAGAAATAATTATTATATTTGTTATTTTGAGCTTGTTCAAGTAGCTGATTTTACTGCCTAGATTAGCATAGTCCTAATGCTTCACCTTGTGTTTTCACCATTTTATAATTTTATTTATTATATTTTGCATAATTTTATAAGAAATCATAATTTTTTTAAACATGTTGAAGATATGACTAAGATATTTTACTGTCAATATTTAGCATGATCCTAATGCTGCACCTTGTTATTACCTTTTTTAAATAATTTGATATAATTAATTGATAAAATAATAAATTATTATTTTCTTTTTTTTTGTGCTTGCTCAAGTTAGCAGCTGATTTTACAATTGGCATGGTGCTAATGCTACACCTTTTATCACCTTATTCTTCTGAACTATTTTATAAAATGTAACACTTTATTAATTATAGATATCAGAACTATACAAACACAAGTGGTAGTTGAGTGCTAGGATGTGTTTCTTTTTGTCTTTAGGTACATGTGAGACAGCTGACGGTGGATGAGGGGGGAGAGAGCTGGGTGAGTGAAGAACACATGCGTCTAAAGGACCAGGACTCGCTCGAGGATTCTCTGCACGTGGAGCTGAAGACTAAACCTCAGCATGGCAGTATTTACCTGGATGGCACAGCTATGAGTCCAGGCCAGACTTTCACAGTCAGGGATCTGAAAAGCCTAAAAGTTAGGTCAGATATGGTTCATCATAGTTTGTTTGGGTTCATCGTAATTCTACATTATCTTTAGTTTTGACTATTTTGTCTCAACAGATATCGCCATGACAGCTCTGAGACAGAACATGATGATATTAAATTCATTGCCACGGATGGGATAAATATTGCTGACTTTGTACTACATGTCAAGGTAATGGAGATTTATCTTGCAATTACTTTTTTAGCACAAAAGAAACACTTGAAGATATCTAACAAATGCATGTTTGACAGGTGACGCCAGTCAATGATGAGGCGCCAATGCTAGTGCCAGGTTTGAAACCCATTTTAGCCTGTGCAGAGGGACAGGAAGTGGTCATCACCATTGAGTACATCTGTGCCACAGATCCTGACAGTGATGATAGCACATTGATGTATATGATCGCCCGACAACCATATCATGGGGTAGTTCAAAGAAATGACATCGTGGTGGACCGCTTCATTCAAGCAGATATAACTGCTGGCTTAATTTCCTATAGACACACAGGTAATATAAGAAAAGTAGCAATGTATTTCTTTCACTTTTTAAATTTCACTTTCTGTAGTTGAACTTAACATCCAACCATATTTAGGCCTACCCTTGTGAAAAAGTACACTTCAGCATACTTTCAAAAAGAGTTCTTAATCAAAGAAGAATAAACTAGGGCAAAGTGAATGTAATGTTTGCAGACTTATAATCTATTATAGTAAACATTTTTATTAAATGCAATTAGCAAACTTCAAAGTGCTTTTTTGACCCACTTAAGTAGGACTTAAGTACATCTTTATATGCAATTTCTAATTATTTTTGTTGTCTTTGAAATATAGTTAAAGTGTACTGCTGAATGTACTGACAAGCATTTATGGTAAACTTTATAATGGTATACTTTAATGTCGATAAAATCTGTTAAAACTTGTATGTCATGTATTTTATAAAATTTGTAATTGCATATTTGCAATGGTGAAGTTGCAATTTAGTACATTTAAAATATAGCAACTTTAAATGTAATATTGAATGACACAAAAAAACAAACATTTAATTTGACATTATTACAAAGTGCACTTTTTAAAAGTGTACTTAAGTGTGTTAAGATTAAGAAACAGTCATGAAAGTCTAATTTCTTTAAGTACACTTTAGTGACCTTTTATTTAATTAATATATTATCTGCAAGTACAGTTTAATACTTTTAAGATTTGAAGTACACTACAAGTGCACAATCAATGTGCATTTCTTTTTTGCAAAGGTATGTAAATGCATTTGATATTGTTCGTTAAATTTGATTATAAACCTGTGAAGTAACAAATTTATATCAATTTTACTCCAAAGGACACGAGATTGGGCTACAACCACGTCATGACATTGTCACGTTTGTGATCTCTGATGGAGAATCAGGGCTACTTCCTTCCTGTTGCAGTGACAAAGCCACTATATTCAGTGCACAAACACCTGAAATACAGAGTTCCCTGCCTGTCTATGACCTTAATATCACCGTTTATCCTGTGAACAACCAACCACCATCTATTGCTGTTGGTAATGGGAACACTTTTCTTTCTGATGTTATTATAACAATGTATTATAACATTCGTATCCCTTGTGAAAGGAAATACACGTTAGCATACTTTTTAAAGAGAGTACTTCTTATAAAAACAATATTCTTTAAACTTAAGTGTGAACTGAATGTAATGTTTTCAGACACTTAATTGCATGTTAATTGCAATTAAATGTAAATGTATTATAGCTTACATTTATATTAAATCCAGTAGTTGAACTTAAGAGTGTTTTTGGACCCATTTAAGGAAGTACATCTTTATATGTAGTGTGCCTGCCGAATGTACTGACAAGCATTTATGGGAAACTAATGTCATTTCTATTAAAACTTGCATGTCCTGTATTTAAATTGATTTGCAATTACACATTTGTAATAAAGAAGTTTCAATGTAGTATAAAGTATATTAACTTTATATGTGCATTAAAAATGTACTTTAAAGCACAACATTCTGATTTTAAATGTATTTTAAATGAAAACTTTTGACATTGAAAATGTGACATTATTACAAAGTGCACTTAAGCATGTAAAGAAAGAGTCATGACTTAAGTGGCCTTGTATTTCAATATGGTCTATTGTCTCCAAGTAGTTTAAAAAAAATATACAAGTACACTACAAGTACATTTGAAGTACATTAAGCACATTTGTTTTTCACAAGGCATATTGTAGGATTTGCTGCTTGTTGCTGACATGTTAGGGTCCATGACACATTTTTTTCTCACATCAGGAGAGGTGTTTGTGGTGAATGAAGGAGGGTCAGCCTCTATCACGGTGACCCATCTGAGAGTTGAAGACCAAGACTCTGCTCCAGAAGACCTTAAGCTCATCCTGGTTGCTCCTCCACAGTTTGGCTACATAGAGAACATCCTGCCCAGTCCAGGATTTGAAAAGAGCAACATGGGAATCAGTATCGGTGAGCCAGTTCTGTTATGTGCATTTAACTGGTTTAAAATATGACTTTGCCAAAATTGGCGTCATTGCATTGGGTTATATTATATGGTAATATTGGAGCCTGAATTGTTGTTTTTTCCTCGTTTAGCTTCTTTCACCTACAGGGATGTGTTGAATGGACACATTAACTATGTTCAGTCTAGACACCAGAGGATGGAGCCGACCACTGACCAGATCATGCTGCATGTGTCCGATGGGAAACAGCAATCCTCTTCAGTCCTGTTCTACATCATCATCAGTCCGACCAATGATGAGATTCCAGACTTCCTGGCCAGAAACATCACGGTCAGTCAGAGAATCGTCTTGTAAATAACACAGCTGTGTAGCAGTTTAGCTCAAAAGGGAAAACTGTATAATTATTTGTAATGGGTTTTAGCTTTCTGAATTAACTGTAGCAGAATTTACCTTACAATCGTCCACCAAGCAGACTGTACAATCTTCTGTCAACTCTAAGAAAAATGATTCTCCTTGCCAAGAAAGCTTTCTTACTTTATATATTGTACTAGGTTTAATAAATGAAACTACTGGTTAATGCAGCTAAACTAAGCACAGCACATACTGTATATACAGAGAAAAGAATGGCAATGTTTACAATCAGTTAACCACAACGACCTAATGAGAACCATCAGAGAATTAAATTCACCTTAAAGGAGCTGTATGTAAGATTGTGGCCAAAACTGGTACTGCAATCACTTTCAAATGACTGTAGAGCGGTGTATCCCCTCCCCCTCCTCCCTGACTCGAGGTTGCCAGATAGGCTGCAGGATCCAGCAGGAGCGTAGGCTGCTACAAGAAGTGGTAACTAGAGCAGAGCTGGCAACCCGGATGCCGCAACACTACTGACTTCGTGATTGGTAGATAGGTGGAGGGTGGAGCATCAGACCAAAACACAACATGACAACATCAACATCAGTTGAGGGCTGCAACTGCACTTTTTAAATGACAATATCCTGGCCGGACTACTGTTGTCAGTGATATAAGTATTTGAAATGTACATGATTTCTTAATGTCTAGTGACATATCAGGGCCATTTTATGATTAATTGAAATAAATGTCTTACATACAGCTCCTTTAAAGGGGAAATGAAGCAGTCAGTCAAGTTTACATTATTTAGTAAACTGATTATCATTTTAATAAAGGGTCAAAACTTAGAGACGTATCTAAAGTTGATAAACGAATACTTGCATTGGTTTTGGTGCTGAACAACTGGATGCGTATAGAGTATAGAGATTCTTGATGAGTAAGGAGTATGTTGCAAGTTATGATAACTTCATATGCCTTTAATTAAGAAATGAGAAGAGGATTTATTTTAACATTAGGTGTGACAGGGTTTGTACAACATTGATTTACTTTAAATGTAATATCAAATAACAAATAAGAGTTAAAGGGTTAGTTCACCCAAAATTTTTAATTCTTTCATTAATTAGTCACTCATGTCGTTCCAAACCCGTAAGACTTTCGTTCATCTTCGGAACACAAATTAAGATCTTTTTGATGAAATCTGAGATCTTTCTGTCCCTCCATTGACAGCTACGCAACTACCACTTTGACGCTTCAAAAAGTTCATAAAGAGATCATAAAATTAATCCATATGAATTGAGCGGTTTAGTCAAAACTTTCTGAAGAGACACGATCGCTTTATATGATGACCAGATTCAATTGAGGTGTGGTGAGCAGGACGAGATTGGTGATGAGTGACACCTGCGCGACGCACTGGTCTCGTATCCCTCATGGAGGAGCAGAAGCATAAAAGGAGGAGCGATGACAGTAAAGGACGAGAGAGGACCAGGCCTGGACAAATTATGTTATGTTTTGTTTTTATGTGGCGGCAGTCGTCCGTGAGGGGCTGTCGTCTTTACTTTCATTTTGTGTTTGTTTTATTTTATGATTATTAGTCGGTTTCCGCCTCCTCCTTCCCACAACATCTAACCTTGCTACATCAGGCCTTTATTCACATATAAACATTGATCAGTGAACACAAACAGAAGCTCAACTGAACCTGCTCGACGTGCGAGAACAAACCTCATTGGTTCCTCCAGAAGCTCAGGCGTGCTGTGTAACACGAGAATGAACCTCATTGGTTCCTCCAGAAGCTCAAACGTGCTGCGTAACACGAGAATGAACTTCATTGGTTCCTCCAGAAGCTCAAACGTGCTGCGTAACACGAGAATGAACCTCATTGGTTCCTCCAGAAGCTCAAACGTGCTGCGTAACACGAGAATGAACCTCATTGGTTCATCCAGAAGCTCAAACGTGCTGCGTAACACGAGAATGAACTTCATTGGTTCCTCCAGAAGCTCAAACGTGCTGCGTAACACGAGAATGAACTTCATTGGTTCCTCCAGAAGCTCAAACGTGCTGCGTAACACGAGAATGAACCTCATTGGTTCCTCCAGAAGCTCAAACGTGCTGCGTAACACGAGAATGAACCTCATTGGTTCCCCCAGAAGCTCAAACGTGCTGCGTAACACGAGAATGAACTTCATTGGTTCCTCCAGAAGCTCAAACGTGCTGCGTAACACGAGAATGAACCTCATTGGTTCCTCCAGAAGCTCAAACGTGCTGCGTAACACGAGAATGAACCTCATTGGTTCCTCCAGAAGCTCAAACGTGCTGCGTAAACACGAGAATGAACCTCATTGGTTCTTGCAGAAGCTCAAACGTGCTGCGTAACACGAGAATGAACCTCATTGGTTCCTCCAGAAGCTCAAACGTGCTGCGTAACACGAGAATGAACTTCATTGGTTCCTCCAGAAGCTCAAACGTGCTGCGTAACACGAGAATGAACCTCATTGGTTCTTGCAGAAGCTCAAACGTGCTGCGTAACACGAGAATGAACCTCATTGGTTCCTCCAGAAGCTCAAACGTGCTGCGTAACACGAGAATGAACTTCATTGGTTCCTCCAGAAGCTCAAACGTGATGCGTAACACGAGAATGAACCTCATTGGTTCCTCCAGAAGCTCAAACGTGCTGCGTAACACGAGAATGAACTTCATTGGTTCCTCCAGAAGCTCAAACGTGCTGCGTAACACGAGAATGAACTTCATTGGTTCCTCCAGAAGCTCAAACGTGCTGCGTAACACAAGAATGAACTTCATTGGTTCCTCCAGAAGCTCAAACGTGCTGCGTAACACGAGAATGAACCTCATTGGTTCCTCCAGAAGCTCAAACGTGCTGCGTAACACGAGAATGAACCTCATTGGTTCCTCCAGAAGCTCAAACGTGCTGCGTAACACGAGAATGAACTTCATTGGTTCCTCAAGAAGCTCAAACGTGCTGCGTAACACGAGAATGAACCTCATTGGTTCCTCCGGAAGCTCAAACGTGCTGCGTAACACGAGAATGAACCTCATTGGTTCCTCCGGAAGCTCAAACGTGCTGCGTAACACGAGAATGAACCTCATTGGTTCCTCCGGAAGCTCAAACGTGCTGCGTAACACGAGAATGAACCTCATTGGTTCCTCCAGAAGCTCAAACGTGCTGCGTAACACGAGAATAAACCTCATTGGTTCCTCCAGAAGCTCAAACGTGATTCGTAACACGAGAATGAACTTCATTGGTTCCTCCAGAAGCTCAAACGTGCTGCGTAACACGAGAATGAACTTCATTGGTTCCTCCAGAAGCTCAAACGTGCTGCGTAACACGAGAATGAACTTCATTGGTTCCTCCAGAAGCTCAAACGTGATGCGTAACACGAGAATGAACTTCATTGGTTCCTCCAGAAGCTCAAACGTGTTGCGTAACACGAGAATGAACTTCATTGGTTCCTCCAGAAGCTCAAACGTGCTGCGTAAAACGAGAATGAACCTCATTGGTTCCTCCAGAAGCTCAAACGTGATGCGTAACACGAGAATGAACTTCATTGGTTCCTCCAGAAGCTCAAACGTGCTGCGTAACACGAGAATGAACCTCATTGGTTCCTCGAGAAGCTCAAATGTGCTGCGTAACACGAGAATGAACCTCATTGGTTCTTGCAGAAGCTCAAACGTGCTGCGTAACACGAGAATGAACCTCATTGGTTCCTCCAGAAGCTCAAACGTGCTGCGTAACACGAGAATGAACTTCATTGGTTCCTCCAGAAGCTCAAACGTGATGCGTAACACGAGAATGAACTTCATTGGTTCCTCCAGAAGCTCAAACGTGATGCGTAACACGAGAATGAACTTCATTGGTTCCTCCAGAAGCTCAAACGTGCTGCGTAACACGAGAATGAACCTCATTGGTTCCTCCAGAAGCTCAAACGTGATGCGTAACACGAGAATGAACTTCATTGGTTCCTCCAGAAGCTCAAACGTGCTGCGTAACACGAGAATGAACCTCATTGGTTCCTCCAGAAGCTCAAACGTGCTGCGTAACACGAGAATGAACCTCATTGGTTCTTGCAGAAGCTCAAACGTGCTGCGTAACACGAGAATGAACCTCATTGGTTCCTCCAGAAGCTCAAACGTGCTGCGTAACACGAGAATGAACTTCATTGGTTCCTCCGGAAGCTCAAACGTGATGCATAACACGAGAATGAACTTCATTGGTTCCTCCAGAAGCTCAAACGTGCTGCGTAACACGAGAATGAACCTCATTGGTTCTTGCAGAAGCTCAAACGTGCTGCGTAACACGAGAATGAACCTCATTGGTTCCTCCAGAAGCTCAATCGTGATGCGTAACACGAGAATGAACTTCATTGGTTCCTCCGGAAGCTCAAACGTGATGCATAACACGAGAATGAACTTCATTGGTTCCTCCAGAAGCTCAAACGTGCTGCGTAACACGAGAATGAACCTCATTGGTTCCTCCAGAAGCTCAAACGTGATGCGTAACACGAGAATGAACTTCATTGGTTCCTCCAGAAGCTCAAACGTGCTGCGTAACACGAGAATGAACCTCATTGGTTCCTCCAGAAGCTCAAACGTGCTGCGTAACACGAGAATGAACCTCATTGGTTCCTCCAGAAGCTCAAACGTGCTGCGTAACACGAGAATGAACTTCATTGGTTCCTCCAGAAGCTCAAACGTGCTGCGTAAAACGAGAATGAACCTCATTGGTTCCTCCAGAAGCTCAAACGTGATGCGTAACACGAGAATGAACTTCATTGGTTCCTCCAGAAGCTCAAACGTGCTGCGTAACACGAGAATGAACCTCATTGGTTCCTCGAGAAGCTCAAATGTGCTGCGTAACACGAGAATGAACCTCATTGGTTCTTGCAGAAGCTCAAACGTGCTGCGTAACACGAGAATGAACCTCATTGGTTCCTCCAGAAGCTCAAACGTGCTGCGTAACACGAGAATGA